GGGGACATATTAAAACGACCAAAGCGAAAATAAGACGCGCGCGACTTGGGAAAGGGGACAGTGGCAGTTGGCAGCGGGAGACACTGTCTCTCCCCAGCCCCGGCGCGTTTTTCGCATTTCTTTTTACTGAACGACTTTTCACCACTGTCTCGGAGTCTGGAACAGGCTAATTATTTCAGTTACTTTAGAACTATGACAATAAATTAGTAATATATTACATGGCTGGTTTTGAACTAAAAATCATAATAATATATTACATCTCTCCAAAAGCATCCTGTTCAGTAGTGTACGTTCCTATTAAAAGTTAATTACCTCAAAATATTACTTTTCCGATAATATTTCCAGCTTGGGCTACCCGTGCCGAGCCCAGCCAGGTTTCCCTCATAATAAGCCCCTCTGAAATGAAGCCCATTGAAGAAGGGCCTTGAAAAGTATAAGCCTCGGTGCTTATGTTCAAAATTTTACGAATACTATGGGTGTAAAAAAACCCTCACATCATGGGGAGTGTTTTTCATTAAAACCCTGCAATCAGATTTATAAATGCCAAATAAACTGATGACTGTTACAATCTCTTATAGTCTAGAGCTGTCCCTTTTCAGTTTTTAAGATAGACTTGCTACAAGTCGACCTCTCATAAGTTCTTAAAAGTGAGCGAACCGAACCAGGAAAAAAATAAAGGACTTTTAGAAAGTCTACTTTGAAGGTACAGTTAGTTGAGAGTGGTTCAGGTTTAGTATTTAAAGGCTCCCCACTTAGCAGCTTTTTGAATAAACTCCTTAACTGTTGTCCCATCCAGTTGATTAAAGGCTTCAGTTTGCGTGACTGCCGTCAGGTGATTGACACAGAACTTGAAGCAGAATTCTTCCAGATCCTAGAAAGAAAAGAAATAGAAATAGACTAACGCTTAACTACTGCGGAATTAGCGACCGGGGGCGGGGGGTAACTGTTCTGTCAAAAATGGGATATACCTGGGTAGGGGGTTGGACCTCGGGGCGGAGCCACCCCGTATACAATTGGTTGAGTAACCCCCGGCCACCCCCACCCCCAAACCCGGACTCAGCACAGCTTCAGTACTAAAGGAGATTAACATGACCTTCGTCAAAGAGGATCCTTAGTTTATTTCTTACCACAGCCTCGTATTTGAGTGCCGCCGCAAGCAACATGGCTGCATTGTCCACGGTGATGCCTTGTTTTATAATTCGTTCGCAGAGGCGTTTGAGCTGTGTCTCACAGTAGGAATTAGCCAAGTCGAGTAGTCCTGCAAGAAAATGAAGTAGCGGAAAGAATCTTTGAAAAACGTCCACTAGTTCAAGCATATACAAAAGCGCGTTTTCATTACTACTCTTCTCTCGGAGGCGTGCATGTAAAAAAAAAACGTGCAGGCCTCTTTAATCGTTTTTGCTAACACGCTCTCTTACCTCGCAGATGTTACCAAGGGAAGCTCAACCGGCAAAAGAAAGTCAAATTGGTCCTCATGGCTTTTCCCTTAGAACATGGGAGAGGTGGGAAAAGAGGCGCCCCTCCCCTTCCCCCATGTTCTAAGGAAAAAGCCCTGGGAAGGAGGTTGGAGAAACGTGCGTGTACAACGCGGCGTGTTTGTCTAGTTTCTGTTCGGCGTTTTCCCAGGCCCTCCGGTCAAATTACTTCGGTGACGTACCCGAGGCGAACGGGCGGGAAACACTCACTTCTTCGCTCGGACTACCTGACCCGAAACGAATTGGCCGCGCGGAATAATGAGGCCTAGGGACTAAGCAAGGGGCGTGAATAGAGTCAGCTGTCGGTAGGGCAACTATCAGAAATGCTATCAAAGCGTGTGTGACTTGTGCCAACAATTTTTAATGTTTTTTTCTGTTCGTAAGCTCACCCCCTCCTCAAAGGCAATTTCGTCACCTCATCATAGACAGCCTTTTCAGCGGTTATACGTAATGCGCCTTTTTTCCCTTGTGCTTGGCAAGCTCAACCAGTGGTTGTTAATTTTTTCGCATGACAGAGACAACCGGGACTTTTTTTTCCAGTTCCGATCATTTACCGTTTGTTTAGTGGCTAGATACTCACCAATAGCGTCCTCTGGTTGAAGATGAACATGATCAGTATATAGATACTGCAGGAAAGCACGATACACGGGGTAACTGAACTGAGTGACTTCTATCACACTGAAAGAAGGTGAAAAGAAAATTATACAAAATGTAATTAGAACACACAAATATCTCTTTCAACAATAAGCAACTGACTGTGGAAAAGATATACTAAGAAAGGCTTTGATCGTCATTCCTCTTCTCTCTTCGCAAAGAAACTTTTAAAAAAAGGTCTCCTGGGAAACGACAAGGACTTTGCAGAATGTTTGTAGGGAGACACTCTGTTCCCTTAAGACATTAAGAAATCTTTTCAGCCTGCAAATAGAAGCCCTTAAACATTCATCTCTCTCTTTCTTAGGTTTTGACTAGGAAAGGTCTCTCTTCTTTCCCCAGTCCCCCTCGCTCCACGGTAAGGGCCTTGCCATACGTCACCTAAGTGAATTCACCGAGAAGGCCTGGGAAAACGCCGTACACGGACTAGGCAAGTAAGGGCCTAAGTGGTCCATATAATCCATATAGGCCTTTCCCGCATTTAGCTCCAGTGAGCAAACACAAAGAAGTGAGGTTGAGGCTCGACTGGATAATTTCATGTAAGTCACTGTATTTTGCCAACACAAGCCTCGAGTTGATGCCGTTATTTACAGGAATACAGAAAAGGTCTACCAGTCAGGATGAATTACGAGAAATTAAAAAGCTTTTGAATTTCCTTAACCCTAAATAGTCAGACTTACTCCTTGTCGTCTTCACCCCAGTGTGACTGGAACATGCTACGGAAGTGTTCACACCTGTTGAAAATGAGTTGTTTCAAAGACATGTAACAAATTACACAACTTGAGAACATGTAAGTGCATAATTAACCCCTACGCCCATCCGCTTCCCCACCCTGTTCCGGATTCGAAGATGGGCTAGCCATCCTTACGAAAGCACGATGTGCAGTTGTAAGGCCGCATCTTTAGGTCTCCGAAAAATGAAGACAGGAAGAAAGCTTCAAATGTCATGTAATGTTAAGAGAGTTATTGCACCATGTAATCAGTACAAATTACTGTCACTTATCAAGGCCATAGTATTCTAACGATCAGTATGGATCGGACGGGAGTTGGGTGGTGGTACCCTACCGAAAGCAGAATGGGTTCGTTCCATTCGATAAGTGGAATGGAATTAGAAGAGCACGGTCCAGTGAAGACATCTGTCACGCACCGCCTGCTTCACATATCAAAAAATTCTAAGAAACTTCCTCCATGGATGCATGGATGGATGTTTGACGACTGGGTAATGGGTTTGAGAGAAGATCCTCTACTAAGCGTCCCCCCCCCACCCCCTTCAGGGGAAGAGAGTTAATAAGCCCCCTCTCTATTAAGCCCCCCTCCCCTGCCCTAATTATTCTTCACTAATAAATGAGAGACTGTATTAATCAATCATGACTGTAAAATTTCGTGTGGACTGATGATGGTTTATTGACCAACTGGAAGTTCGGATTTGGTTATAAACCTCGGCTGCATGACCTCCAACCTTCTTGTACTTGAGCTTTTCCACTTTGTATTCTAGTTCTTTATGGAGAATTGATACCATTGTCTTTTCTAACTCAAATAAGCCCCCCGTCTCTATTAAGCCCCCCCCCGCCTCAAATGGGCTTGAAATAAATACGTCCCGGGGGGCCTTAATAGAGGATTTACGCTAAGTAGCCTCAGCTCCCACGAGTCTCCTGTGGCTCAGTGGTAGAATATCTGGACCAGTAACTAATAGGACATGGGTTCGACTCCTGCTGGGACTTCTTGGAGTTTTTCTTCCGAGCCGCCTGTGTCACTGACTGAAAAAAACATATTTCTCATGTATTCACCAGGCTCAAAATTCACCATCATAACTTTATCAAAAAGCCCTTTGTTCGCACAAAGCAGCGCAATGCTTGCTTGCAAGTTCTCGGGGAAACGTCCGTCGTGTCGAATGCATATGAAAAATTAGACTGTTAAAAGAAAGTAAACGCAAGGGGAATTGTATTTAAATAACGCTTTACTATGGAATACATAAATTAATAAAGCTGGTAAGGTGCCACTACCTTATTTTCAACATGGCCTTGTGTACGTACACAGGTTTTCCTTCAATCATAAATGTTAAATCGCTTGTTTCCTGAAGAAAAAAACGAAAAGGGATTGTTTGACAGCGTTCGTTTACCTTTTGTTTCCCCAAAATTTATCACCTTTCAATGACAATTTAAAATTACGGCACACCAAATCAAGTTCTTAGCCTGCAAACGCTCACGTATTTAAGGATTATGGCTCCTCTCCGTCACAGAAATCGTTTGGTGGCTCAGGAATGAAGACTTACTTTTCGGGTGGAGGAAGCGACAAGTAAACAACCGTCTGAGTTTCTACCAAATATACCGATCATGGAAAATTAATATTTCACGAAAATTGGTCAACAAGGAAATATCAGCGAGAGGAGATAATTGAAAGTCAATTTTTTCGAGACAGCATTTCACTTTATTCAGTCAAAGATCCAATTTTCCATGCTTTCATGGTTCTCATGGGTGAAATTCACTTAGTGGCGCGCTAAATTCGATGACACTAGTTTGTATGCACAAATATAGGTTGCACACAAGAATTCCAACGTTTAGGCAACTGCCGTCCTACTTTCAGTCTCTAATTGTTCAAAAGGTGAATAAGACTATCCGCTGGATAAATCTCTATCCACAGGATAGCATGATTGGTTTCTCAAATACTGATCCACTTAGTAAGAGGCAGAGTGGCTGAGCGGTTAGAGCCCCGAGTTCAAGTCTTGCCTTGACCGCTATCTAGATTTGTACTCGGTGGTCCCGAGCTCAAATCCTCGGCCACGCTTGCAAAATAGCCAACTAGTTCACCTCCGACCAGGCTGGATTATTCAACCTCGTTATGTACCATTTAAATCATTTTTTTCATTATCCCAGAGAAGCCTCATGAGGGGAGAGGGTAAGGTCAATTATAGCGATATTTCTATTGGGTAGGGCTATCTACAATCAGGGACAAAAGTAGTTGACACACTTGTCTCAAACGGGTGCTTTTATCAGCAATTTCATTCATTTATTATTTCATTCTATTTAAACGCCGTAAATCCCTCCACCCCCGAATCAATGTTGTTTGTAGTAAAAGAAAGACTTGAGGGTCTGTAATACAACATTGATTTTGTGGGGAGGAGGTGGGGGTACCCAGGGGGAGGGGATAGGTATGTCCACTGTTCAAAAAGGGACCATTTTATAGAAGTGTCTCAACACTTTTGTGCCTCATTGTAGCTTTAGAACAACCGGGGTTAGGAATGCTACACATTTACACCGGTACAGTGATAATAATCAATGACAGGCCTGCACGACTCACTGCGTTATGTTGTGGTCATTTTTGTGAACGTTGCCTTATATTTTTGTCCTAACGAGCATGTGATAATAATCAATAACGGGCCTGCACGACCCACTGCGTTATGGTGTGGTCATTGTTATGAACGCTGCCTTATATTTTTGCCCTAACGAGCATGTCTTTATGGATCGTCCTCTCTTGTAGGATATAATTGGCGGATCTTTAAATATGTTTTTCAGCAAAGGCTGATTTTGTATTAAGTTCCAGTTTTGCATCAATTTATTTTTAAGATTACGCACCGATGGGTGGTATGTTGTGACAAAAGGCAAGATTTGTTTGCGAGTTTTTTTCTTTTGTTGTAGAGCCGACTGTCTTTTTGCGAAGCTGACTTCTGATAACGTTGTCTGTATCATCTCGTGGGGGTATCCGCGCGTTATGAGGCGAGATTTAAAATTCGAGATACTTTCATCGAACGTTGTTTCAGGAGAGTTTGTTCTCAGTAGTCTGAGGGCTTCGCCTTTAATAAAACCTCTTTTCACACCCACTGGATGGCTCCAGGTAAAATGTGTATACTGAAAGGTTTCAGTAGGCTTGTAATGCGTACGGATGTCAAGGATCGATTCATTTCTGAAACGTTCTCCTTTAAAAATAATTGTGTCGAGAAAGGTTGTCTCGTTATCTGAAATTTCAGCCGTAAATTTAATTGTAGGATGGAAGTTGTTAGCTTGTTCAATGAACAGGATAATTTCCTTTTTTTCACTGTCCCATAGTGAGAAAATGTCATCAATAAAACGTTTCCATTCTATTGGTTTTGTTTTGCTTTGACTTATCATTTTTGTCTCAATATCGGCCATAAAAATGTTTGCAAATGCAACGGCCATTTTTGTACCCATTGCAGTGCCATGGGTCTGAAGATAATTGTTTCCAATAAATTGAAATGAATTTTCCTGAAGGATAAGTTTAAGCATTTCTTTGAGGTAGTGTGACGGTATAGGAGGGTTATTGTTGTGGAATGCCTGGTATGCTCTGCATACTAAAGTGTTGTGATCCCCTCTTCCTGTGGTAAATTTGTGTACAAGCTTGTTACATCCATTGATACTAAGATATTCCTCAGATTCAACTCAACAACAGGGAACATTATAAACCTCTCCGAAATCCCATGGCAATGGAAAAATCACAAAGAGTTCAAGAGCTTGTCGCACAATTGCATCAAAATAACTTTATTGATGACATGACAAAGAAATGGTTTTTTTCAAACGCGAGATCCGCCAAGAATACCAATATTTTACACCGTTACTAAGATCCACAAACCAAATCCGGTCGGAAGACCGATAATTTCGGGCTGTGAAGGCCCTACAGAAAGATTATCATTTTTTGTGGACAAACTACTTCAGCCCATCGCACAAAAACAGAAATCGTATCTAAAAGACACAACGGATTTCGTAAACTTCATAGAAAAGACAAAGGTCTCTCAAGATACTAATCAGAGTTTACTTATCGTCTGCACGCAGGATAGGTCGTGGTTGGACTTAACGGTTTTGTTGACCTCTTCACTGTATGGTGTCAAGTCACCACATAATTGCTTATGTAGTGCCTGGACATGTTGATGTACCTGATGTATTGATCCTTCTCCTCGGCTGACAACTTGAGAAAATTTTTGCGAGTCAGGGTTTTTTTTCTGCGTGCAGTCATTGTCATAGTAGCCAAACTCACACTTATGCAGTCATATCCACCAAAGTTTTAATTGCATTTGCACGTTTTGTGGTAAAGAGCATGAGGTTAGTTAATAGCGCTCGTTGTCTTTCTGGAAAGGTTGGTTATGACTGAACTTGAAGGTCCAATCACGAATGATCAATTCCTGTCATGTACCTCTGTTTCCATCGCTGGTGCACTAAATCCTTTTGGGATTGGACAACATTTCTTGTTTTTCAGATTCGTCAGGAATTTACAAACTCTAGGGAACTGACCTTCAGCCTGGTAAGGTGAACACAATTAAGACAAGAGACGTGATGATACGGCAGCTCATCTTACTTGGGACTTCCTAAATGAATAAAGAGGATTGTTCATTTTCTAGAAAAGGCTAATGTTCAACCAAGAGGTCTTTACCAACCGGTGTTTACGGGCTTCAAAATATATTATCAAATTGTTAGCCGTCAGTCAAATTGTAAAATGGTTCTCTCCTCCGCACAGGGCTCTTTGTGTTGTAGGGGGACTGGGGAGAACAAAAAAAGAGAGCGCGCGGGGTACGATGGGAAGGGGAAAGAAAGAAGAGAGGCCTCTGCCATATAACTACTCGTTTCCTTACAATGTTGTCTATTTGAATTGCGTGACCTACTTAATAAGTAAGTTAATAGCACGAATTTGGGTAAAATCCTATTTACAAGTCGTTTTTATAATTAATATTGTCTATTTTCAGCGGATGATTAAATTTATAAGCAAATCTGAATTCTTGAATTCCCCGCACCCAAAAAACTGACAACCAGAATGCAGTGCGGGATAAGCAGACAATTCTTAGCCCATTTATTGAACTAACCAACTTATCGCAAAACAAAAACAACTGTTTACACTGTTTAGACACCAAAAAATCAAACAAACTGTATACGTTCGATCCGGCCAAAGTAAATGAATAGACAAAGCCACTTAAAATAACTGTCAATCATCAGGAAAACTCAACTAAAATCGTTACGAGGAAATGGATTACAGGATTTCAATCAAATATAAAAACAACCTCGTCCCCAGGGGAAAAGCCCTGGGGACGAGGTTGATATAAAAAAGAACAAAATTTAACCGTCCGCTTGTAAAAATCCAAAATGAAACTTGTTTACTATTCAGCGAATATATACTTGCTACTTTACAAATCACACTTTCTTCGCATAATCTCATACTGGCACTTAAAACACACTGCGGACAAATGCACCTGTGCTTGGGAATTCAAGAAACCATTTATCTTTTGTTACATTACGCTTCGCTGCATTCAGGCAAAGATAAATGAACAATTGATGTGCAATCGATTTTATAAATAACCTATTGGATAGGAAACTCTAATTATATGTACTATCGCTTACTGTTACGCAGGTTTAATCTTATATCTTTTTAACATTGTCTTTTTCATTTGCATGACCTACCTCATAAGTAACTTATGAATTAAGGTATATTCCTTTTCACGAGTAAGTTAGGAACGGACCATTAGAAAACTTGTCAGGGGGCGGGCGAAGTACAAAAAAAATATTCGCGCAAGGGAAAATTAAAAGAAAAAAATTCATGCACATCAATTAACCCTAAAAAATATTCATGCTACGGCCTAAAAAATTCATACAAGGAATTTGATAACGAAAAATAATTCCCGCGGCTCAAAAATTCCCCACCCCCCCATAACTTTTCTAATGGTCCGTCCCTTACCTATTGGATAGGAAACTCAAATATTACAATCGCTTAATGTGTTAGCTACTCCGCAGATTTAATCGGCGTAAAACGTTTCATAAGCCAAAAACTGATACAATTGTTTCTTTACTCGATATTGTCTATTTCACCATTGTCTACTTCATAAGCACATAACTACAACTGCATAAATTTAGGTAAATTCTATTTCATAGGTAAGTTACCTTTTGGGTACGGAACTTTTATTACAAATACCTAATGGGCTTTACTACTCGACGGATTCAACTGTATATATAGCCTAAATTGAATTTTTATATAGGCGACATATCTGCCGGTACCTTTCGTCAATTTTACGTCTACAACCTACTTCATAATAATAAGGTACATAGAAATTGAAGTAAAGCCCGCTTCATGAATAAGTTACCTATTACAGGCATAGGGAACTCATGTCTTCTCCAGTCTAACATAACTGTTATTTAGTAACTACTACGCGTATTTAATTGTATATTCTACAACTTGTAATAACTGCCATATCCACTCGTATTTCAATTCTGATTATAACAGTATTTAAAAAAATATATTGTCTACTTCGTGTCTATGAACTTCTTCAGATGAAATAATAAAATGAATGTAAACAGGGGCGTAGCTATAGGGATGCTCCTGGGGTGCCCGTGAAACCCCCTTTGTAAGGTAGTTGTTTTATGTCCCTACAATTCAGGAGGCCAAAACCTGCGAATCCGAAGAATCAACATGCAGTAAATCTTTTCCAGTGCTAGATTGTGCTTACCCCATTTGCAGGACCAAACGTCTGCAGTGGACCATGTTCTTGTTCCTTGTTCGCAAGTAAAATAGAGTATATTATGCTACGTGGAACTGACTTAATCCATGAAGCTATCTCACTGCTCATCCAAAACAATGTCACTTGTAGTAAAACACGGCCTGGATGTGGACATACCAAACTGGTAAGTGCCCTGGGTGTGACACAGCGTGACCCCCCCAGTCTCCCCCCCTCCCTCCTTTGAAAAATCCTAGTTACGCCCCTGTAAAAACTTTTACAAGTAACGTAATCTATTGCATATGCAAAATAGAGCTATTTATTTTTTATTGTTCCAATTGAACCATCGTATAAGCAAGCTTAGGACATAGACTAGCGTCTCAGTGGTTTTCTCGCAGACCTATAATTTACCTTGTTTTTAACAACGCTACTCCAAAAAAGGCATTTGCTATTAACCACGATGGGAAATACAAAAAATACCCACAGCTGTATTACTTCTGGGTGTCGTTGCTAAAATTTTACAGAAAAGTTAGCCTGCGTAGCAAGCGTTTCCAATCGAGTTATTGCGCAAAAGTTAGAGCGGGAGCAAACAAAGGTTGAACCCCTCCCCCTCCCCCGTCATTCATTTTTTTTTTGCTCTTCTCCCAGCTTTCTAGACGAACCTCGCGAGGAAACGCTTGCTACGCAGGCTACAGAAAAGTCCTCGCTATTAAGTGGTTTGTTTTTAACCTAAGTAATTGTTTTCCTAGTAAGACGTTTGTACACTACTTTGTCACGATAAACAATTGGACACGACTTCCTGCAATAGACATTTTAGCAATTCAATTCTATCAACTGCGAAAATTTTCATAAAATATTTGATAGACGTTACACAGTTCTGGATAGTTCATCGATGATCTCCTGCATGGTTGGTCTCGCTTTAGGATCTGTCTTCAGGCATCGCCGTACCAGGCCTCTTAAGGCGCGATTCGTCACCAGCAGAACTTGCTGTTCACGTCTTGTAGGATCTGGAAGTTGCCGGATGAACATTTCACAAAGAAGCACACCAAAGCTATAAACATCAACCTATGAACAATACACAGATTATTTCTTGTTATTTGCCTTAGAGCATCCCATTCTACTACTACCAGTTATACCCAGTACTTAGAGTCGTTTTTAATATTTATTTAGCTATTTAACATTTATTAGATGAAGCTGAGTATGATCTGAAGAATTATGCAGATTAAGGGGGAGGGGAGGGGGTTAAGTTCGCGTCTCCATTTGACTGTTCCTTAGCAAATTCAGGAGATGAAGGAATGTAAAGTCTAACACATATCGTATTTATTCAATTAAGCGCCCAGCCTCGAATTAGAATGTAGCCCATCTCGAATAAGCACCCATCCTATCTTGTAGGGAAGAAAAGTTGATAAGCACCCACCTCCACCCGTACCCTCCCCACTCCAAAAAAACTGAAGTAGACAAGAACAGTGTGGTTATTATTTCACTGGACGAAAAATTGAATTTATTGATATTTACCTTAAAGACAAATCTAAGACAAATCTGATGTCAGATTTGTCCACCCATCAAATGTCCCAAATGTGAGACAAATCTGTTATCACATTTGTCTTGAGGAAATGTGAGACAAATGTGATTCAAATATGCCATTATATTTGCCCTTGTACAAAGATATCTTAAAACAAGACAAATACGAGAAAAATAACGTTTTGACTTCTCGTTCCAGTAAAATCGCTATATGCTTTTCTGAATTGTTTAGAAACAAGGCTATTGTTTGTCTCATTAATTAATTAATTTATTTCTTTGGTTGTTTTTGACGCAATGGGTAACCCTTGTCAAGTACTCGTAGATGCATGTAGGTGTAGATCTGTAGAAATTGCAATGAGGGATTTTCTGGCTAGCTATTATTGCGCCTTACTCACACTGGATCAATGCTCCGATCAACTTACCGTACTTTATACGCTGATAAAAACGTTTACAGAGGCTCGTTATATCGAGGTTCCACTGTATTCAAGTCAAGTCAAGTCAACTTTATTTAGGCAGAGTGGCCCTATCAGCCATTGGCTGGTATCAATAGGGGCCCTGCGTAAATTACGACTACACGATAAAAATTTAAAAATTAAAAATTCTTTAAGTGAAGTGAATAAAAGAAAAATTAAAAATTACTTTAAGTGAAGTGAATGAAAGGGAAATTACCGTCTGTTCATAAAAATCACAATTTGTTTATATCATGTATTGAAAAGAAGTCTTTTGAAGTTTTAGCGTATGCTAGAAAGTTACCTTGCGTTGCAAGTGTGAGGCTCACTAGCCTTTTTTATTACCAAGATTGAAAAGTTGGATTAGATGTAAAAGGAAAGAATTCCTCCTCCCTTTGACTCCTTAAAACTGATGAGTTGTCAGTGTTTTGATCATTATGCTGTGCCACTGAAAATATGAAAATTCAACTCTAGTCAAAAGACCAAAATTATTCAGCCATATGGCAGAGTCTTATTTGCACTACCACCCTACACTATAGGGTCTAAACCACATCACCATATATACCGCTAGACATAATGAAAGACCAAGGGACTGGAAAAAATGCTCTTCGTTATTTCGGAGTCCCACTGTACAATCACTGAACTCTTTATGTCATGTTTAAGCAATAACAAATATAAGATAAATAAGTAAATAAGTACCGTGACAATTTTGAAAACTATAACTTTTTTTAATAATAAAAAGAATACTTTATTAAAATCTTATTAAAACTACACACAAAATTTCAGTAAAATATTCATATAAAGAAAACGTCCATATCAATAGAGTTATAAAAAATCAATTCAACAGTCCCAGTGGATGGCATAACAGTCAATGCGCTGATTTTAATAAGATAAGGTTCTGATCCATGAGGCGAGATAAATCTATTGCTGTTAATTTTCCGTACCAATTTCCCGATAAAAAGACCTAACTATAGAAAAAAAAATAATAATAATACTGTGAAACCTCCATTGAGCGGACACCTTCGGGACCTTCCCAAGCGTCAGTATTACGTGAAATCCATTCCAGAATTTATGCTTAAGTCCAGATAAGTGCTGCTGATAAGTACACCCTATTCTCTAATCCCTTCATCTTGATCGTCTTTTTGAATGAGCGCGCGCGCGAATGCGCGAAAAGTACTCGCGTTCGGATATTGTGACGTTAAAGTTACGTCAGCGATAGAACGCCAATCAAATGTCCACAGCTACACGCGCGGTATGTTTGATCACCATTTTGACAGCGTCTTCAGTTCATTTCGAAAAGTTCTTTGTCAGCTTGGCCCTTAGTTTTCATTGTCTTTAGACTCGTATTTTATGGTTCAATCATGGCTACAAGCAGTCCTGCTGAAGAAAGACAACTTTTCCTGATGGAAAACATGAACAGGAGACTAGATTCTATTTTAGAGAGCCAGAAGAAACTGAAAGAAGCAACCGCAGCAGTTCAGCAAGATAACGTAACTAGCAAAACAGGAGCGACTAAATAACAGCAAATGCGGCTCAAAACTGTCACGCAGAGAATCTAAAGGAGACGTTCCAATGGATTTAAAGGTAGGTTTACTTTCTTGTTGCTTTGATGATATAAGAAATGGTTTTGATCGTGAGAGTTTGTGCTTATTCTTTGGAGCTGAAACTGATAGCGTGTCTTCAAAGGCGCCGACTTGCCTGCGTTGTATCAAACATCACAGGAACCTACAACTTAGCTTAAAGCGCCCAATTTTTGAGGGACAATGTTAGTCTTTGAAGTGGGGCATATTTATTTCTTCTTTAAACAAAACGAGATCGATGGCCTGGAGAAAGTTGCTGTTGGAAGCAACCAAATACATGTATATTATGGATGATTATGGTTATCTCAAAGCAGAAGTCCTTATCAGGGTTATATGCTTCTGTCTCAAAGCTTAAGTTTAAGCTTATCTAACATAGCACTTTATTTGGTAAATTTACAACTATAATTTTTGTTTTGTTTCCAACATGCAGAAAGATGGTTGACAAAAAACATGACAAGTGGCTCTAAAGTGGAAGAAGAGTATGTTCACAAATTTATGTTTTATTTTTTTACCTCATGAGTGTTAAAATGTTTTTCTAGCCAAATGGTTGTGCTCAAAGAAAATTTGAATGGACTGAGTCCATTGCTATGAGACTGTGAAATCCACACTGTTCAAGATATGGTTCCTATGAAAAGCGTTCTTTTAGGCTGGGTTCAAATGTCGAATTTCACTTGAGCCAAACTTAACGCAAGTGTTAAATGCATGTGAAGTGCAACGTTTGAATCAATTAAATAAGACTGTTTAAATTAAATGCGATGTTTGCCGTATCTGTGACTGAAACAGTTGAAGATTTGACTAAGGTTCAACTTTTGATTCAAACGTCGCATTTCACATGTGCCAACTTAATGCATGAATTTTGGTAAATTATTATTATACTACTGGGAATATTGACTTTTAACAGAGTTAAATTCAACAGAGTTTAGGGAGTTAAATTTGACGTTTAAATCAAATCCCGCATTTAACTATTTAAGTAGACTAAATTAGGAATAAAGTTCTGCGCATGTGAATTTTAATGTTTGAACTGGGCCTTAGACACTCAGGATTAAAAGTCAGTTGCCACGGGTGACCTGGAGAGCACAGCCTCAGGTGTTGTTTACCTTAAGAATCTTATCCCTCATGCCAGAGCTATGGCAAAGCCCAGGTTTGAGGGTGGGATATCCGAGAGGCCAGCACCTGACGGTCCATCATGAGCCACATTCAGGCCACTTCTCAGTCAAGGCCTAGGCCCAGTTGTTCTAAGGCTTATTAGAACCCACACGGGGATAAATTTTTAAATAATTTGGTTTCCTTTTTCATTCGTTCAAAAACATTTTCACACTTAATGTGCTCTTCTTTTTTAGAGCATCCAATCATCAAATTGCAGACAAAAAGAACTTTTAAAGTGAATTTGTTTATAAGCTTTCCTATCTCATCTCAAAGTTTGCATAAACCAGCATTACACAACCTGGCCTGACCTTGTTTATATGAATTCATATGAATTTAATGAGAAAGAGAGTGGAGATAATAGAAAAGTATATGTTATTAGTAGTATGAGGCTACCTTCCACAGAAGATAATCAACTGTGGCATTTTTTTGTCTTAATAGGGTAGCTTGATTTATCATATACTTCCAGGGTGCAAAGAAAGTCAGTTTTACAGTTTGCCATTCTGGCAAGCTGTAGCTACCCCACACTAGCCCACAAAGTCATTTCAACTAGCCCCCAAACCCTTTTTGATTAGCAGGATTGATTACAATCCTTCGGTAATTTGAATTTCTCCAAAAAAAAGCACTTGCCCATCAGGCAAGTTAAGAAAAAAAATCACTAGCCCGATAGCAAAATCCACTAGCCCCGGGCTATCGGACACGACTTTCCTTGCAGGCTGACATCACATAAAAGTACCAACTTTGCTTTTCCAAGACAAAAGAAAACGTTTCAATGACTCTTTCGAAGATGTGAAGCCAAAAGAAAATCAGGCTTAGGATTACCTTCTCGTTTATTTGCAATATTCATTTAAGAAATCTTTGACCAGAGGAAAAGTTGTGATAATCAAAAAGTTGGTTAATTGAGGTCCAGATAATCAAGGTTTAACTGTTGGCTTAAATGTCCAAAGTCCATTATTTGTTTATAGATTTTAATAACAGTACATGTTATGGATTTTCTAAGAGCTTATATAAATGCAACTTGGATTATTTGGTTAACTGTGGCAAACATTGAAGAGTGCAAATGGTATAGTGTTTGATTACTTTGCAAATTCTCAAGCTATCATTAAGATGCGTGTACAAAAATATATTATGATATGTGAAATTTTTGCTGTTTACCAAATTTTAGTCAAGTCTTTGTAGCATTATTAATTAATGACAAGTGTACATTAAACCCTCTAGCAGTCACTCCAGAAGTCAGCTATTTCATTAGTTTTGTTACCTTTGGCAAGTATCAATAGCCCCCCAAACAAACCTTGGCAATTGTGAGGCATTTGCTTTTTGTTATTGGTATTTCCTAAAGTGCATTTAGATATATTTTTAATATAAGAAATAAGAATATTTTGTCTGGACAGTCAACTCTCTTTAAGATGGTCACCTTTGGGACCAGCACTACTGATTCGGTATATCCGTCTTATAGAGATCCAAATAGAGTGAGTTATAAAGAGAAACAGGGACCATCTCAAGGTGTCCACTTAACAGAGGTGTTTTTAATAGCCATTATTTAAAATTACATACTCTAATAACAGTGGAACTAAGTGCAGTGAAGATTGTTATCTTTCCTGTGGTAATTAACTAAAGATACACTTTGTTGGATGTTGTACCAATGGTACCTGAAGGGAAAGTTTTATTTAATGGTTAATTTTTACTGGGTATGTGCTGCTGGCCTCTCAGTATCCCTATCCCATTACTGTATACCGATAGTCTACTCTGTGGCCATATTATAGACCCCATTACGGTCACTTTGGAAAAAAAGTGATTTTTGCAATCCCAACCTGGTCACTCTCTGTTTATTTATCTACCTAATAAAGTCTTTTGACTTGGTCATCCTGAAATGAACTGACACTTGTTAAACTTAATGTTTTAGTTTTGTTTTACAGTTAATTGTAAGATCAGGACAATCTTTGTGAAATAAATGAGAATTGTCAGTTAAAATTCTTGAGTCATTTTTCTTTAAAAATTGTAATCACCTTGCACCCTTTACACTGGAACTCTGATATTTAAGAAGTTTCAAGGAACGAAGTATAATGGAGATTGTTACTGTTTTAGCAGTGTCTTCGTTATATCAGGGTTTCAGGCAAGGGTTGTGATAAATGAGGGGGAAAGGGATCGAACTGATGGTCTTTCAACCTGTCCAAGTTGAGTTGAATGAACTTCTGCAGCATTAGTCCACTTTAAAGAAAGGTTGAAAGCTAGTGTTAAGTGCAAATTGCAAGAAGCAATAAAGGGGTAGATGCCAGGGAAGAAAAGAGAGAAGGGTAGTACGTATGTACTGGCCTGGCACGCTCACTTTACAATATAAAATTTGCTCTATATTTGTCCATACAAATATGTTATTTGACAAAGTTTGAACACATTTGAACACATTTGTTTGCAGTTTGGCTCATTTATCTGTATTTGTCACAAAGCAAATGTTAAATTTGTCCTACATTTACACAGCATTTGTTCACATTTGTCTTAGACAGCAAATGCATCATTATCCTATTTGTCTTAAAGACAAATGTCTAATTTGTGCTTTGCACAAATGTGAACAAATATGACAAATTTTATATTTAGACCACATTTGTCCCACATTTATCTCATTTCAAATCTGTTTTTTCATCCAGTGTTTGTTTATTGGCCTATCTGCTTCTACAGTCGAAACTCTACTGATCAATATGTTCTTTGTCCTAGCGTACAGACAATATGTTTACTTTTATTGAAACTCTGGACAAAAACACTTTTATGTGCATGGACACCATTTAACATGAAAAGTTTCGTTAGAGCATGTAAGGTGGACAAGAAAAGCATTTATCTTCTTAAAAGAACCCACTAAGGAAGAGATCTGAAGGTCCAAAGATTTGTTAAACAGCGGCATAAGTTGGACATCGTTTAAAAAACCTACCCTATCAGTTTTATCTGCGAAGTCGCCAAAATGATTAACTGAAGAACTAATGAGGAACATTTAAATCACAACAGACGCCTGCAGCTAAATTTTTCTTCGTGGCATAAACACCTGCAAACGACCATAATAATGAAGCCATTGAGTTCAAATGGTGATGGTTTAAGCTATCACCATTACCAACGTTTGACCGGGGCTTTAGCTGTAAGAGATATTGCCATTCCACACTGCACAGGGCTATCCGATTCAACATTATTTTGCTGCTTTTAATTGTATGCCTAGGTGAAGAAGGGTAAAGTGGAGTAGTGTTTCTCTCGTGTCGTAAAAGAACAACCTGGCCTTAAAGTAGCTACGTGCTCAAGATGACTGCACCAACGCGTCTCTTTGAAGTCTGAAGATGTTGATGAAAAAGTGCTGAATAAAAAAAATTCTAAATTTACTAAAACTTACCTTGACTGTTTGGTTTGATGTAAGTGCTTCAGGAGCGCTGTAAATCATAGCTCCAGCAGCTACTGTCATGGTCTGCTGCATGAAATTAGCAGTGCCATAATCTGACACTTTGCCTCTCCATTGGTCACCCTGTTGCCATAGCAACACATTAGCACTGCTCACATCCCGGTGAATGATTGGTTTTGGTTTCTTCTGATGAAGATAGTTAATTGCTCGGGCTACATCCAGAGAAATTACGCGTATTTCTGTTTCGGCGAGTTGTCGCTGTTCTAACAGAGCTCGCAGACTTTTCTCCATCAGCTCGGTCACAAACAGAGGGTTTCCTTCATCGTTAGTGGCACCGATAAACTGTAGTAAGTGAGGATGGCGGCACTTGGATGCAATATTCATTTCTCTCTCAAAAAGAAGTATGTTATGAGGGGAGAGAATCAGATCATGAATTTGCTTTACTGCTACAGCACAGCCACAATACACACCTTCATAAACACTGCCCCAGCCTCCCCTGCCAAGGCATTTATTGGTCATTTGAATTTCATCGCGGGAAATGACCCAATCGCATGTTTCCTGTTGTTGCTGTTCACTTTTTATTTGTTGGGCTGACGAAAGACTTAACTCTAGCTCATTTACTTCCTGGTCCCTTTCTCTCAGCTGTCTTCGCAAATTTTCTTCACGTTGCTGCATCTCCCTGAGCTGCCTTTGTGAGTTTTGCTGCCTCTCGCTCAACTGCCTTTGTGAGTTTTGTTCACGTTGCTGCGTCTCCCTCAGCTGCCTTTGTAAGTTTTGTTCACGTTGCCGCATCTCGCTAAGCTGGCGTTGTAAGTTTTCTTCGCGTTGCCGCATCTCTCTAAGCTGCCTCTCTAAATTTGCTTTCTGCTGCCGTATATCCCTTGATGGCCCTGGAAAGTCTCCACCAAGTGCATCCATATTTCCTAAAGAAGTATATTTCATTAAAATTAAACAACAGAAAAAAAACGAACTGCACCTTAAAGGATTTAAGGCAGAGGACACACCTCTACACACAGAATAAACAACAACTGGTACTAGGTACTAGGTTTATGTGTGACACACGTCCAACATACTGCTTTTCATCTACAACCGCAGTTCAGAAATGAATTATTTCATATACTTCACATCATTTCACTCCTCACGGGAGACATGAACTCAATAAATTGACCTCGCTCTCAATGTGTGGCTTCGTAGCTCAGTTGGTAGAGCAACGCACCGGTAACGCGGAGGTCACGGGTTCGAATCCCGTTGAAGCCCTGATTTTTTTTTCAGGCTTCTTCTTTCCAATTGCTTAAATTGGAAAATTCACTGCGATGATCATTCTTCACTTTCATACTGCTTTGGATCAGCAATGGTAAAGAGTACTGTATAATGATACGGGGACACTGGTGGTAAGGCTGTACTAAGCCATTTACTAGGTTCATATGTGAAACACGTTCTACATAATTCTAGGATCAGCAATGATGTAAGAGTACTGTATTATATATGATACGGAGACACTAATGGTAAGGCCAGGGGCGTAGCCAGGTTTCTTTTAGAGGTACGCACACTCTCCAAATCGTCCTCCCTCGCTCCGCCTCCCATCTTTTCTTTAGATATATGTGTTATTCAAGATTCGGTCCATTACTGAATTACTTCGTTTCTCGCGAAAGCGACATTGGGTGGAGAGGAAAAAATTTATTCATTTTTATATCTGTTATGTGCACGACTTTCTAAGGTACGCACGTGTTTGTGTTCGGTCAGTCGCGTGCTAAGGTTTCTGCCGGTTTCACCAATGTAAGAAGCCTGGCAGAAGAAGATTATTTGCTCAAGAAAAACTTAGCCACTACGTTGTGCCGTTCGCGATATCCGAATTACGTCGTAAATGTCTTGAACCAGCAGCCACACTTATGAGCCATTAAACAGCTGCATCACTGTACCGAGTGTTTTAATCATGAAGATATTTAAATGTTATTCTTCTAAACACCTTAAGCCGTAATAAAAGACGTCATGAAAGCCGTAATGAAGAACCAAAATGGCGGGTCTCAAAGTGCCCTTGCTTGGCCTTTAGCGCAGCAATGTCATCTTTAGATGCCAAAATCTCATAATTGGTTCCTAAGTATCAACTCATAGTACATCCAACCTTATTGGCCCCTGGAACAGACATCCAAACAGACAAAGCAACAAAGCCACAAAGATACATACGCTCACACCACTGACAGAAAAAAAATACCCCGGAAAGCTTCATTTTACTTTTCTCACCAAAAAAGTTAGCACAGTTATTTATACTGAACGAGGTTAAGCCCTCTCCCGATAGCAAAATGATAAAACTTCTTACATTTGATAACTTGTCCCCGCCACTACGACATTCTCGCTAAAACTCGTACTAGAATGACGACGGCTACACGTTTTCCCGCCAAAATGACGCTGGTGCACGCGTAAGCAATACTCAGTATATTGAGAAAATCTCGTACTTGTAGTCGTCCTCGTCTCAGAATCTAAAGCCCTCTAGTCTATTAGCAAAAAGAGACAGGATATCCCTTTCGGTGGAATGGCCCAATAAATTGACCCTTAGACTAACTAAAGGAGTTTGGCCAAATTTAGAAGGATTTGTTCGACACCTTTTACACTTGTAGAATCTCATGAACGCAGTGCTTAGAGAACCTTAGTAAGTTCCAGGCTCTCAGATAGTAGGGACTTCACGAAATAAAGGATCGAAAAAACGAGAAGTTAAGACGTGCGTGATTTGAGAATAACCCTAATCCTCGCTTCCTTTAGCTCTCACCAGCACGCACGCCTTTTTTTGCGCTAGGTTTCTCTATTCGCTCTTCTCCCAGCTATCTCGGAATCTTAAACAGGCTAGTCTGTCATTTGAGGCGATGCATTCTTTTAGCTCTTTTTGTCAGTTCAGTTTATTGGGCTTAATGAACACTCACAAGGTCTACACAGCTCTATTCCTTTAAAAGGTACAACTAACCTAGTAACGACCTTAGCAACATTACTAGCCCCCTTGCCTTGTTGCCAGACGTCTCTCTCTCTCTCTCTCTCGATGTAAATTTGCAAACAAAGGAAGGTGGCCTCGCCTCTTTCTCCTTCCCGTGACCCATTGCGCTTCGTCACGAGTCTCTAGCGTTTCGTGCTCGCCTTTGTTCTTAGCCTGCGTCACAGACGAAACTAAACTCTGGTTAAGTCCATCTGTGAAACAGCGCCGAAATTCTTGTTCTGGGCCCTCACATGTGTACCAGGATTTGAGTACGCGCCACGATTGGTCTGTTAAAAAAGCCACTGATTGTTGTTTTGCGAATCAGTATGAAAGGAAATTCAAAATTCCCTTTCAGTAATTCGTTGAGTCCGTTGGGGGCACGGAACAAGGATCTCGGCGCTGCTTCGCAGATGTTACCAGCCGAGGTTAAATTACGACGCAGGCTACTTTGTTTTGGAGCAAAAAACGCAGGGCCTGAGTAGGAGGCTCGCCCTGCGAAAGAACGCTTGAAAGGCAGTCTGGTAATAACCTACAATGAGAGGTCTGAACATTTTTGAAGGAGGAGATGACGGAGAGGAAATATACTTGAGACGCATAACCAGACGAGCTACAAATGTTTCCCAAAGTTCGTCCAGACGGATGATGCGTCCTTAGTATAAAAACCGCCAATGTTGTAACCCTGATTTTTGGCCAGTTCGTAGGCCAGGTTTTTCTTGAAATTTCAAGATGTTACAGTGAGTCAATCTTAATATACTATGAATCTTGAATATATGTTAATACGATATATTTATATTTAGTATATACTAAAACGTTGGATAGTGGTATTCGCGCGCTCTGATTGGCTGCTAAAACTCGAGATATCCAGTGCTATTCATTTTACAGCGGCGCCAAAAACGCTTACGTTACGTGCAAAATGGCTTCCTGGTTTGCTGCTGTAACAAACGAAGAAACTTCACAAATAATTGAAAAAGCTTTTCCCGAAATACACGAGGAAGGCGACGAAATTTAGTTGGAAGGTTTTACAGGCAAAGCTTTGTCTACGCTAAATTTCTCGTCGCTTCACGGCACGGTAAAAGCCCATTACCACTAGCCACCTCTACCACGGTGAATAATTGTTATTTATCTGTGCCTGACCCGTCTCGATTATTGTTAATGCTACTTTACGCGCTAGCACGATCTTACATATTGTGTGTAGGAAATAAAGGTTTGTTGATCACCTTCATCCTCTTCTTCGTTTCTCTGTTTCTGTTTCATGATCTTCACTGCAGTCTCAGCCGTCAGCAGCGCGTAGTGTAGAATATCGAAGATCATTCGCTCTGTTTCTGGATTGCAATGGCTGTTGTCTTTACAGTAGTTAGCCACAAATAAAGTGTAACTGGGTGGACTGCCAGTAGCCGCTGAAGCTTCGTAAAGGGCATTTTCACAATCCTCTTCTGTTCTCAGTTTGTCACGGTGCGTAATAACAGTGATTGGTACGATTCCTTTAGTGGGAGCAAAAAGAAATGAATAGATTGGCAAAGGATTGTGGAAGGAGACAAAACAGAACTAAAAACGGATTGAATAATAAAACTGGTCTCTCAAAACTGACACTGAAATGATTTTTGCCGGTCTATCAGTCTCCCTAGTCTAATATTTTTTTTCATTGGAAGAGTTTCTTTTTTAAGCTTTAGAGCCCTGTGCTTATCTCTTGGTCACACTTTTTAAAAATAACTGTAACGATTTCAAGCGCAATATGAAGCTGAATGTTATTCTCCGAACCATTCTTATGCCTTGCATTAACTAAACGCCACCGTTTTCAAATAACATTTTGTAAGCTGAGGTCAGCAACAGGGCCGTTTTGTATGATGAATTGTTAACTCTTGCTGATAATTCTTTTCTAATTTGGGCGAAATTAATAGCATGAAAAAACGCTAACATTAATGTAAATCCATTTGTGTCACGATCACGTTGTGTTTTCGAGTCTCATAATGTGGTAGAGTTAACTTCAGCCTAATTTTTCTTCAATCGAGAGGTACTACTGACAGTATGAAGCTTAAGTTTCAAGGTACCCTGTGATGGAGAGGGAGTTAATCTACCACAGAGTGCAATCTGATTGCTGTAGCTCGTGATGATGCGCTCTACATGTCTGACCATACTTCCAAAATCACCGAATACTTCAAGAAAGACTTCTTTCTTATCGCGGTGCTAAGCTATGGAATACTCTCCCAACAGTTACTATAATTAATGCTAAACCATTTCTCGAGGTTTATTATGAAATCTTTGCGCAACGTCGATCTCCAGGGCACTTTTTAAGTTTTGTATATCTGTAATTGAATATGTAATTTTTGTCATATTACATATTTTGATATTTTATTGCATGCACGGCTTTATTGGAAACCAATTCTTTGTAACTCCGTGTTGAGACCTGAAAAGTCCCTGTCGGTCTGTGTCTGCATAGGTGTTCTATTGATTTTCATTACTAGCAAACACTTAACCAGTTCTATGCAGAATATCTCGCACTGGTTTTAGGTGATCCTTCAAGGCACCCTCTCTTAGACGCAGGTCATTCGCCTTGACCACAATGATGATGCCATGCAGACGGTTGGCAAATGGTGGACGTGGGTGAAGGTCCATAGTATTTTCATGGTCGTCTTTAGAACGGACAACATTATCCCCAGGTTGTATCTTTCCGTCCAAGATGTTCTTAAATTCCACGGTTTCGTTAGCGTTGTAGTGGAAGAAACCATATACATCAACTAAGTGGAAGAATAACTCAGGGAGATAATCCCGTAGAATTATGGCTCCTTCTTGAATTGTAGTGTTGTCAGGAGCTGTGCCTTTAACCGTCTGCCTCACAGCTCGTTCACGCGTGTTGATAAAGCAGCTCTTGCCCGATCCAGTAGGTCCGAACACACCGATTCTGAGCTGTGTTACATCATCTATTGCCAGCCCTTTAAAACTATCCAGCTTGATCTTGTCCCCAAATTTGTACTCGAACAGCTCATCTCGACGGAGGCACAGTTCGCTCTCCAAACGCAAGCGCTTTTCTTCCTCTTCTCTCTTCCTCGCTTCTTCTTGTTCTATCTGTCGTTGCCGCTGTTGTTGATATTCCCCTCGCCTTCTCTCTTCTTCTCGTCGTTTTTCTTCCTGTATGCGCAGCCTTTCTTCAGCCTCTCTTTGTCTCCGTTTATTTTCCAGCTTTCTTTGTTCCAACTGCCTTGCTTCCTCTCTTCGTACCTCCGTGTTGTCCACGTAAGTATACTGTGTTTCTTTGCTTGACTTACCCTGAATTAAAATAGAAAAGAAAAAAATGGAAGTTTTCAACCGGAATCAAGCGGTCTAACTATCTATTACAGGTTTGAACGGGTGTTTAAATAAGCAAGAAAAAAAGATAGTGCTGAATGATACTGTTCTAGTGTGGAACCATTTTACAAAATAAAAACCAGAAGGTGTTAAAGTATGACGATCGAGGACGTATCTATAACTCAATCAAAAAGTTCTTAATATTCTCTGTTTTACACTGCTTCTGACGCTCACAACAATTAGAGCGTATCAGAAGATCATTTTACCATTTAGGTTATCCGTCGTGAGCGTGAGATTTCATTATTAAGCCAATGCCTCGTCAGGTTCTTGACTGAGTTACAATTCGTTGATTTTGAGTAGGACAATACAATCCTAATTCTGCTGTTTGGTGCTCCCTGGAGTCCGGAAAAGTTTATCGATCATTACTCCCCGCCGTTTGGATAACTTTAACCAAACGTAAACAAAAGTCCTTATCATCCTTTCTCAAAACCTTTTTAATACGACCGCATCACTTCTGCTTCTGCTGTCGCGGTTGCAAAATAGGGATTTTTATACTGTAAAGCTAAGTCATGAAACTGAAATTAAGCAAACCCGGAAGTCACCGCGAACGACCGGAAGTATTTGCGTGGATTTTTTTGATAACCCCACAATTGCAAGGTACGAAACTTTCATTACCCTTTTAGAAAAACAACGTAGCCAGTCATCCCTTGACCCTAATCCTCTTAATTCATGCTTTTAAAAAAATGGAAGAAAAGTCCGGAATTGGATTACAGTTATTAGCATGACCAGTACACCTTCTTTGATTCTCAATATTTGACTCATTTTATAGGTGTTCAAAGTTATTAAAAGATAACTGCAGGACTCCAGCCCCTCCCCTGCTACTTTCATTCGAAGGTGAAAGTGAAGGCGGAAGGCGCTTCTCTTAGGCAAAACTGATCCTCAACCCTCCCCAAGTAGATTTGAAAGTGAAAGCCGGAAGCGAGCCGGTCAATGATAATTTCCCTGCCCTCGAGAACTAGCGAATCGAGATACTCTGCAAAGAAAAACTACTCGAATTCATCATCTGCGTATCATTCTATTTAAATTCTTACTTTGAGCAGAAACCTGTGAACATGAAAGAAAAGAGAATTCAGCAACGAACTGAGCTCGTGCGCTTGTAAGGGCTACTTCCTTGGAAAATATGGAACACTTGGTGTCTGATGGAAATTCAAATGGCCCAAAAGTATCACTGCAATTTCAATTTACTCAAGGCAATCTCAATTTACTTCCGGCAATTTCAGTTCACGGTAAATTCAATTTACTCACGGCATTTTCAGTTTTACTCACGGCCATTTCAATCACGGCTTACGGCAATTTCAATTTGTTCACGGTAATTTCAATTTTATACTCACGGCAATTTCAATGACTATCAGGAAATTCTCTACATGACAATAACAATAACAGTGAGGCCCGTTTCAAACGTCGTGCTACTGCCGTGCCGAACTCAATTGATTGAATTAAATTCGACTTTAGCACGGCAGTAGCGCGACGTTTGAAACCAAGTCGTGCTACTGTCGTGTAACACGGCAAGCATTGCCGTGCTACACGGCAGTAGCTCGACTTGGTTTCAAACGTCGTGCTACTGCCGTGCCGAACTCACATGGAACTCAATTCATAAATTATAAATACATTAGAATATATTCAAAAGTTTGCTAAACCGTTTCTTTATTTTTGTGTTTTGTTTTTGGCAACCGCCGTTCCATTCGACTGTCATTGTGTGAATTAAATTCGACGTCTGAAACCAAGTCGTGCTAGTGTCGTGCTGCAGTCGAGCTACAGTCAGCTTAGCACGGCAGTAGCACGACGTTTGAAACAGGCCTTAGTTCTCTCAAGAGAAAGCTGAAACAGTACAAGCTACACCGAAATAAGGTGGACTTTGATCCCCAGATTTTAAGAATCATCATTGTGGAAATAATAGATGACCCTGGAAGTTCTGTTGGCTACCGCAGCGCTAGCGTTTGGCGTGCTCTTCAGCAGAAGGGATTAAGAGTACCCAGAAGCATTAAGCGCAAGAAATTGTTCCTGAACTAGACCTCGATGGCGTTGTAGCGAAAAAAATACACAGGCGGGAGTATACCTGCCCAGGCCCAAATAAGGTTTGGCATGCAGAGGGTTATAATAAGAGGAAGCCGTTCGGATTTCCGAGACATGGTTGTATAGTTGGGTATCAACAGAAAAGTACTTTGGCTGTATGTCACGTGTTCTAACAACCCACCTGACAACATTGCTGCGTCTTATCTGGATGCTGTTGGAGAGCACGGAGGATGCCCCCTTGAATTATATACCGACTTGGGCACAGAAAATGGAATTATGGCTGGTATACACTCTTTTTTAACAGCCGCGAGTAAAGGAGAAATTGCCTTAAGTAAATTGACTGTTGCCGTTAAAAAGGAAATTGAAATTGCTGTGAGTAAATTGAAATTGCCGTGACACTTTTGGGCCACCGTAGATTTATCCACTAGGATTAAATCCAAGCCAGTATGAAACCAGGGAGCTGAGTATCGGAAAGAACTTGCTTACTTTCGACTGCGTTTTTGCACTGACTCTGCTACGAGTCCTTGCGGTCTGTTCCGTTTCAACTGGGTCGAAATGGTTTTGCGATGGTATTAAAAACTGAATGAAAACCACGAGCTGTATTAGTCAGAGCCAACAGTAACGGCGACTCGCACCTAGAGAAGTTCATGAAGCTGAAAAGAAACCATTCAAAGGGCTAAACATTACTGAAAAATTCCTCCTGTGAGTGACAAACTTAAATGAGTCACCGGAGAAGTAACAGCTAATTTGACAGAAGACACCGGTGAAATTGTCTCAGGTTAGTCAGGTATTTGGGAAGCGGCTGAGGTTACGAACTGATACTCTTTAAACGTAGTTGAAAAGTAAGTTTTGGCAGACTCACCCCCATTTCAAGATTCTCTCTTCGCAGCGACTTGTGAAGACTGTGAACTGATAGCGAAGCATGAAGACCCGCATACCACTTTTTTTGCACACCACATGACGCCGGCGTTGTTAAGGACGCTAGGTTTTAAGTTACAAGCAATAAACTTCCTACTGCGAAAAGCAATTAGTTTCTTCACCGTTTGGTCAATCATCAGTGGTCAGTTATTCGATAAAGCGTCACTTTTTTTAACAAGATAAAGGTGGCACCTGGCGATTGAGTAAAAATAGTGCAGTTTCGAATTAAAAATCACCGCTGAATACAAACATTAACGACACATTAATACAGGGTTAGCCTCGACGTAAAGTAAAATATTCAGAAATTCTGGCAGGTAAGTGTTTGAAATTTCAATATACACAATAGACAGAGTAAATAAACAGGTCTTTTTCTCGTTGGATTTTGTGAATATATTACTTCAGATGGAGGCTAAAGCAATAAAAAAATGCGTCTTCACTTCTTTAATTCAGCGGTCATAGCGAGATCGAAAATGGGCTATTAACATATGCTGGAGATTTGCGTTTTCAGTTCAAGAGTTATCCAGAATAATCGCGCGTGGCCTACGACTCAAGCGTTGTCTTTCTGGTCTTTGCCAATGTTACAGTAATATGTAGCGTAGTTCCATATTGTATTGAATGTATTGAAGGTCGCGGAACTCAAATAGAATC